TAATATAAACCGTCGGAAACCAGTGCCCGGAGTGTCGGCCCCCATGTTGTGGTCGTCATGTGATCCGGACATGTCTTGCATCGCAATGTCGTGCGTTTCTATCGGATTAAAAGCTTGAGATTAAAAAGTTTTACAATAATTAGTGGATTAAATGTTTAGGTAATGAAGATTTATAATAACATAATATAAGCTAAATACAAGTATAATTTTAATGTTTTATATAAATTACTGACAAATTAGATCATTGTTGGATAACTAACAAAGTATTTTATTTTATCAATTTGATTTTAAGTTTTTAATAATTAACTAGCACGTAATTAAAATATTTTATAAACTCAACCATACTATTAATTTACATTTTAAACTCGTAATAAAATAAATACTTTTCATTTGAGTCACCCCTACTATTTCTGTGAGATATACCTGGGACATAAACAAAAATTTACAAAATTTTACACAATAAAGTGTATTAAGCTTATAGAATAATAATAATGACTGAATGTCAGATATTATAATTAATTTTAACTTCTTAATATTAACTAGCACTTCACTTTCAAATAATTATTAACACTATCTTACTTTTAATTTAAATGATAAAAACTGTAATAAAAGTTATAATTTTCATTTGAATCACCAATACAATTTTAACAATTAAACTTGCTACGTTCACTTAAAACTTCTTAATTTTACTCAATACACTTTTATATAATGTTAATTTTAAGATAAATTAGCTTAGCAGTATTATATTTTTAAATTATCTTATAACTAAATTTTATTTACTCTTAAAATTTACTGTTAAAACACCATGGTGGGAACTAGACTATTTAAGAATGAATAAATAAAATTGGATAAATATATATCTAACAACATGTTTTCCTAAATTATTTTTGTCAAAATCATTTCAAATTAATTAATTACAATTCAAATCTTATTAAAAATTTAACATACACTTTCTATATGAGTAAAAAATCAAATTTTAATTGAGTTGTTATCAAACCACTCAATCAATTAATTAGCCATTAATTACATATAAAAGACTGTAATATAAAATAGTTAAACGCTAATAAAAATAAGACTTTAATGTATCAAATAGAGGCCATTATTATAGACTTCAAAACACTTTTGATTGTATTTAATAACGAGCCTACTATTCAACACTTACTTTTAAGGCAATGAATATAAAAAACTACTTGTCCTTATAGTGGATACAATAAAAAAAATATAATATAATGCTAAGCATTATAGTTATTATTATTGGGTCATTGAAACTAATGTATTCATTATTATCTCGTCCTTTAAGTGTTAAAACCGGCAAAAAGTTTCATTGATTTCTGAGAAAATACTTTAAAAAAAAGTTTATACTAAATATAGTTATTATTTACACAAATACGGGAGTATTACATATATAAAGTATAATGTAGTAAAATAATAGCTAGTATTATAAAAAAAATATTAACAACTTTTGCAATATACAGTATAATTCGTATAAGATATTAATTTTTACTTATTTAATAGCTGACTAACAATAATTTTAAATTGTTAACTAAGTATGAGTTGGTTTTAATAAATTTTATATTATAATTTATAAATTAAAAATTTAACTTTAATTCAACCTGAGCTAATTCTTATATTATTTAATAAATAGATTTATATTTTACTAGTAATAAGAATTTTGTTACAGTTTTATAAAAACCGACACAATACACATATAAACATAAAAATAAAATAACCTCGCAACAAATCATCAGGGTTTGTATTATTAATACTTTTCTAATATTACTTATGAATAATACTATAATAATAATAATAATAAATGACTGAAAATATTATAATTACTTCTGTTTTGGGCGCAAAACGTCTGGAACTGGAGTATGAGGTGTACGACCACATTGAACACCACAAACGTGATGACTGTCCACAAAAATTGTCTTGGTAAGTCGGCCAGTGGCAGCTTAGTGGATAGGAAAATGGCTACAATGGCGGCGATATGACCCAGGTTGCCCAGAAACCAATGGCCCCAATTGAATAGCCATCGGTTAGGGGCGTCGGGATGTGGCCTCAAGAGAGCGCCGATAGGGTTGAGTAGCGCCAGCGTGAAGGCCAGGGATCCGAAAATCTGGTGCCAACCCTATGAATGAAAATATGAAAACTTTTTTAGTGAAACTCAATGAAAAACTTTTGTTTTATGTTTCAATGACTTGTCTGCGAAATACAATGTATTTCCCATAAAATGAAAGTTTTTTTAAATAATTTATTGGATTATAATTTTTAATGCGATAAGGTGGTTTAATTTTATGCATATATTTTTGAAACTGATTTATAGTTTAGTTTTAAATTTATTTATTTTGTTTGATTTGTAATTATTTATTGATTTATGCGGGATATCCTTATATTGGTTGAAGTGTCAGCCTTATTATGAAAATATTGACTTTTCGTAGAAAGTTATCATGATTTGTGTTTATATTAATTAAAATTAATGAATGTAAAACAGATTTATAATCTGATCTGGATTCCAGAAAATAAATTAAATGTTTTGATTAAAATTTATAGAAATATTACAAGTATTGTGTTGATCAAGTAACTATCTAAATTGTAACTTTATAAACAAATATAAAAGAATTATAAAAGTATAATATACTGTACATTATATATAACATTGTGTCAAAAATTAAATTTTCTATAAAAATATGTGATCAATGCTAAATAAGTTTTAATTTGTAAATACAAATTTTCACGAGTTTCTAATTTAATTTATATTTTTATTTATACAAAAGTATTTGGTTGATGTATGAACCATATTATGAAAATATTCACTATTCACAGAAAATTAATTAATTTATAATTTATAATAGACTTGATAGTAGTTTGTATCCAGGTATCAATACTTAAAACTAATCAATTTCAGTTAGGCAACCCGGGTATACCATATTTATTCTATAAATAAACTGTAATATAATTATAATAATGAATTATGTCTCTAATACAATATTACATAAATATTTTATGGTATAACCGCTACAACACTTAAATTAACTTTTAGTTTATAATTTATTTATCTAGTTATTTATGTGGTATATCCTTATAATGGTTTTTAAGTGTCAAACATATTATGAAAATATTTTTTTTTGTGCAGAGTATCATGATATTTGTTAAATATTAACACAGATTTAATAATAATTTGCAAAATAAATAGTAATTTGAATCCAGACATCTGATCAAAATAACTGATTTAATTAAAATTAATATATAAGACAAAAAATTGGGACATTTTTATTGTTTTTAAAACTAAAATTCCTGATTTAATGTCAAATAAATCAAAAATGATTTACATTTTGTTTATGAATTATAATCTGTA